ATCTTGATGATGTGCGGACAGGTGGGGGGAGGGAGCTGGAACCGGTTCTAAATGGCACTGTAGATTTGTGGAATCTCTTCTATAGGTTAGAACTGGCAGGAACCCACTCCTGTAATCCATTCTCCAACATAGAAACACACTGGTTACATTCTCTCAGTCCTCTGGTTGACAAGAGTTGCTATGAGGAAAATAGGAGGGAGTGCTATGTACCCCACCCTCAGCTCCTGAATGAAAGGCAAAACTATCAATCTGATATATCAATGACATTTGCAGGATCCTGTCACTTCCCACCCACTCGCAGACACTGCTGTCAATTTGTCCTATTACAAATTCTGCTTGTTTCTATGCAGAAAATGCAAAACCTCCAAAGCTCCACCCAGTTCATATACAAGCAAATCCAGGTGACGCTGTTGTTACTCACTATCATGTTTAGTTCATCCAATTAAAACTAAACATTAAGATTTATCTTGACACGCAAAGCATACTATGTATTAATTTTTATGTCCTGAAGCATTAATTAGGAGGAACATGTGTACAGTACAGTTACTAAGCAACGGAAAAGGTCTTTAGCCCTTCCCATTCAGGCACGGTCTAATATTTATTATTGCTGGCAGAACAATATTTTAAATATTTTGCAATTTGAATTACAAGGGTAGATGACTCTGCAGAAACTAGATATCTAATTTCTTCCCAGCCCAAATCAAAATGCCCATAGTGAGTTGTCCTCAGTGCTGGGAATCAACATATTGATAGAAACCTCCAGTAGCCCAACAAAGTTGGGCAGATGTCAACTAAACCCTGGCAACAACCACATTGCAAGACAAAGCATAATATTGTGTCCATTGCCAAGGTCACATCAGGAGAAAAGGAAAAGAACTATTTGAAACTGAAATACCTATTTTTTTACTTTAAGCTGCTTCATCTTAATGAAAACTATTATATAAAAACAATTACCAGAGTTTGAAAAATGTGAAAATCAGCCCGTTTATGTTGATAAAATGTATCTGAAAATAGTCAAAACAGACTGTATAACTGTTGATTAACTAGGTGCCTTCAAATTCCTGTTGACCACAAACCACATAGACTTCCTTTCAGAATAATCTATCCTCAGCCTGGCCCTTTCGATCGATTATATTTATTACTACCATATTGAATCCATCCTTACTTCTAGTTCTCTTTGTTTTCATTCCATCTTTTCTACCATTATAATTTGATTAATTAGAACTGGATCTTTGTATAACGTATCCAAAATATAGCTTGAGAACCATGTTTTTTATGTTGAATAAAACCTCTATGTGATTTGTTCTGTGATGCATGTGTTCAACAACATTAAAAAGCATTAATGCTCTTGAGTGTTTAAATTGTATACGCAAGGGCTTGTGAGACAAAAACTCTAGTTCTTGACATATCCCACTAGCCAATAAAAACCTCAAAGATTAGATAGAATTAAGAATCACTTTTTAAACAAACCAACAGCTGCCTGCCAGACTTTTAACTAACTGTGGTTTTAAAAAAGGAGGAATCAATGTGAGAACATAGAAAAATCATATATGAAAATCAGAATCTGAACCATTTAGTGCAGATAAATTATAATTAAAAGCCTTGCCTAGAAATATTAATAATTGCTAAGTGGGAAGAACTATAACAGCACACCAAACCTCAGTCTAGGTCCTTGAGAATAAGCTCCTTTGAACATAAGGGGATTTATGTTCGAGTTCGAGCGCGCCTAGAATCCTAAAGAATTACATTAAACCAGAGTTTTTCAAACTTGGCAGTTTTAAGGTGTACACAGTATTGACTTCAACTTCCAAAATGCTGACTGGAGAATTCTGGGAGTTGAAGTCCGCGCAGCTTAAAAGAGGCCAAATTTTAAAAACGCTGCGTTAAACCCAACGTGGTGCAGGGGACGTCAGCCCCGCCCCCCGCCAGTGTCCCGTGAGCGATTCTCCGGTTCTCTAATTCGCTTCTTCCGCCCCTCTTTCTCCGCCGCGCAGCTGAGACCGTGACGCAACAGGCCTCGCAGAGAGGTTACGTCTTGCCGGGTGCGTTTAATTCGCTTCCGCTTGAGTGGGTATTACAAACCAGGCTGTGGGTGTTTAAGAGTGCCCAGATTTTGGATTGTGTTTTTGTTTCTGGAGTAATTTAGTGCGAGGCGAAACTATTCTGCTGTTAAAGAAAATGTGGCGGAGCCTTTAGTCCAGCCTGAGTCTCTTTCAGTTCCTCTGAAGACAAAATTCTTTTCGTCCCCGACGAAAGGTACTTGGAATGCTGCTTAATGCTCAGAAAGGTGGGAAGGATTAGAGACCTTTAAAGCTAATGTGGAAAGCAGGTCACATCCTATCCCACCTCATCGTGGGTTTACTAGTTCTCGGTTCCCTATTGTAAGAGATCTAAGGCGGCCAGATGTTGTCGAATACATGCTCAAGTAAATAGGTGACTATTTCAGGTCGTATTTCTGTTTAGCCAGTTGAGTCCTGCAGAATAGACAATTCTGCTTCAAAAGAAGCTTAGTTAAAGCTTGTGAAAGAAGCTTTATCCACCAAGAGTATAGAGTTTCGCATGCAAGTTACAAATGTATATATGCAACAAAGGAGATGTGTCTGGGAATGTTAAAAGACTTGTGGTTTTAACTATTCTAGTAACAAATGTGCAAGTTGCTAGCTTATGATTTAGATTGTTCATGAGATCAATTAAACAGAGTTTCCTACTTCAGTACTATAATTGAAGACTCCAGAATTCAAGCAATACTTTATAACATGATTTTACACTGATAAATTGCCATCTTAACCCTGAAGTAGTCTGTCTATCTTTCAAGCAGATTAATCAATTGTCAAAATGGGGACACCTATACTGAACAAACCTAAATCATCATCCTCCACTCCAGAGAATTGTGAGAATTCTGTTCAAAGCAACAGGTTAGGGAAACAGGTAATAAATATATCAAGAAATGCATTTTAATATATGTTTATATATTTAGATTGTTTTTAAAAGTTCTTAATTACATTTATGTTAGTTAATGAGTGCAACCCTTCGAGAACGGTTGAAGAAAACAAGAAGATCCTTTGATTCAAATTTTATTGTCGCCAAACAACTTAAAATAGATGATGAAAACAATAGTAATCGGAAGGAGAAAGCTTTATCTAAGGAAGAACCATGTTTTGTTTCACATGCTGAGGATAAGTGCTTGAAAAAAGTTCCTGATGAAATTATGTGTTCGGAGAGTTCTGCAGAAAACAGATCACTATCTGAATACAATGAATATATTAAAGCTACGCACACTTCTTCAGAAATTAATTCGTTGGGCACAAACTGTAAACAATGGGAGCTGTTGGAGGAAAAGATGACAATAATGAAACAGCTTCAGGAAAAAGAGGACATTCTTCGAAGACTTAAATTGGTCAAACTATATAGAACAAAGGTGAGCAAAGTAAATATTAAATCTTCAGAAAGAGTTTTAAATACATTCAAATATATTAAAAACAAATCCTGCCAATAAGGTTGTTTTTTAATACTTTTATTATGCTATTACATTCCCAAATACTAAACAATCTTATCATGTCATCAAGCCAATTTCTGTTCCAATTCACTCTTGCACAATATATTTGCTTTCATCTATTCTAGAGATAAATAAGTCTTTAACTGTAATGGAAACTGGCCATTTCCTTAATAAGATACTATTTCTTGCCAATGTGTAAAGTGCTGTCTATTTTTAATTTAAAGTTGAAAAGACTTCTTTTTATGTAATACTAATTGTATATAAACTATACGTACTCAATGTCATTCACCTATTCTTGTCTTTTTGCAAACATTAAAATTATCCTTGCACAAGTCATATTCATTGTTTAAATTGCACCTTTATGTACTTTGTTCTAGAAAGTAAGAAACATTTTTTCAAATAAATGTTATAATTGTACACCTAAGTAAGATACATTATATTGTATGCCACAAAATTTCATTTTAATGTTTGCCAATTAGTGTACATTCAAAAAAGTGACAATATAGTTAATCTAAGTCTAATAAGATTTTTTAAATAGTTTTTGTATATGATACTTTGTTCTTTCAAATGGAAAGTACATTACAAACATGGGGGGGGGATCCTCATATTTATACTTTTAAATTCTGTGAATTTCTGTTCTCTATTGCAGGAGTCTCCAACCCCCAGGCCATGGCCCACTACAGGCCATGGCCTATTCAGAATTGGGCCGTGCAAGTGACTAGCTGGAGCACATGAACGTGCACACACAGTTCGACTTGCACAAGTGGTGGGCTGGCGGACACTTGTGCATGTGCGTGCCAATCCGCCGCTTCCTGCATGTATGTGTGCCAGCCCATTACTCCCACAAGGCCCACACAGCCCAGTTCCCCTCTCCCCCTCCAGCCAGGCCAAACTGCAAAGCTTGGGAGCCATTGCTCTATTGGAGCAGTATCTAGGTTATCCATTTCAGCTACATCAACACATTATAAGTGCTGCTTTTTTTCTATTTCCCTACAGAATAACCCAGAAGAGTTACAGTTTCTGATATCAAAATGGAGAAAGAGTTCCCAAGCAATTCTATATGAGCTGCAATCAGCCTTACCTACTGATAACAAGAAATTAAGTCTGACTCAACTGATTGACAGTTTTGGATTAGATGACAAACTCTTACATTATATCCGAACAAATGAAGATTTCACAGATCCATAAAATGAGTGTTTTATTTCACTCTTAAAAATATATCAAAAGATGACTATTTTCAAGAATTGAATCTAAATTCTGAACTGTATGAATCGATTATTATAAGAACCTGCTACCTCTTTCTGTTTCTTTTTTAGTCCAACCTCTATATTTAAATTCTGGACATCTATCCCTCCTATTATGTCCCTTCTCATTTGTTCTTAACTCAGTCTCTTTTCAAACTGCAATCTTTCAGCCAATTTCTTTTGCCAAGTTGCTTTAGGATACTTCTCCGTATGCAAGGATATATTTGTTCCTTTATGAGTTTTTTTAAATTCCACTGCATATCTTTTGGTTTTGTAAAAGTGGAATGTCTAAATATACCAGTTTTAGTATGACAACATTAATCTGTTACAATACAAACTGGTACATTTATTTAAAAGCATTGTGAATATAAATATGTTGAAGTGATCAAAATGAATGATGACACAATATTTATAAAACTATCTTAATGTAATAAAGAATAAAGTTAAAAGAAATTCAGAAGGAGGGGAAAAACTACCTTGCTTAAGAGTGTTTATTGCTAAAATTGTTGCACATCAAAGAAAGCTGGAAATGTTCTCATTCTCAATCTTTCCACTTCAGCTTGAAGGACGGCCAACTCCTGGGCTTGTGCTTTTGCAAGATCTACTAATTGCTGTCGTTGTAGAATGTCCTCATAATGCTCCTTAGCAATGGTTTGGTTCAGTAGTTCTGAGTCTGGTTTTTAAACAAAAAAACAACAATAAAATAAGTGAACTGATTACCAGTGTTCCCCAACTTCTTTCAAATTTACTAATAGGACTATGGTAACTATCATCTTATTGTTATGAGCTGTACATCATTGTATGATTGATGAAACAGTTACTTCATTTGCACACGAAACAGTTTTTATTTATTTATTGGATTAATTTGCTTCCCATCAGTATTACTGTAGGCTCACTGAAAGAAGTGATCTATTTGCTAGTGTAGACCTCAGAACTATTGAAAGAAAGTAAAATAACAAAATGGAATTAATAGAAATGTCAGAATATATTGCAATGCTTAACAAAGTTATGGCAGTTGGTAATTGACCTAGGAAAATATACACACTTTGATAACATCCACATTATTTGGGGGGGGATTATTTTTCATAAAGAGTGCATAATGTGAACTCACTTGCTACGTGATCATCATGAGTTTTTTAGGTGATATCTGATCTTTGCATGTAACTTACCAGTAGCCTCATAAATGTGCCGCCTTTCTGATACAATAACAAGCATTTCTTGTAATTTCTTGCTGAACTTCTGGTTTGATACCTCTTTTAAGTGTATTTGTTTTTCTAATTCTTTAATTATTTTTTCTTTTTGTTCTATATTTTTTTTGTGAACCTGGTAATTAAAAACATAATTATTAAAAAGGGATCTTTAGAATATTAAGTGAAAAGATACTAAAACAAATTTTATTTCTTCTGTGAAAGAGGATAGTTAGCTTTTAATATGATTTAATTAAAAGTTTAAACATGTAGCCAGTAATACAATTATTAATAGAAAGTGAGGGGTCCCAATGACTATATTATTTTGGTAGGTTGCTTCTTCCTCAGTGAGAAGCTGAAGTATTTGTATTACTAAAACAGAAGCCCTCAACCATATAAAACATTTGGATCCAAATCAGGAAAAGTGCTTTTGATCTTTGTCCAAAATGGTCTTATTTTCAGTCTATAAAAATTTCATTCATTGTGGAAATACTTCAGAACTGAAGTAATATTTTTTCAGTTATATTTTAGACTTCATATACTATATTCAATAATGCAAGATGAACATTAAATTGAGGAGACCACTAAGTTAAGATCTATAATACACTCTTAAATATTTGAAGAAAATTGATAAGGTAGTAATAAAAATAAAATAAAACAAAGAACTAGTAAAAACTATTCTTCAAGGTTTTCTTTTGATACATTATAAATAAAACTAATAGCTAGAAGGAGAAGATTAACTGATGCTATAGTGTATTCAGATAGAGGGGAAAAATTACAGTTCATTTATATGACAACTCTGAAGTAAGTAGAGGTAGAATTGAAGAGCATATGTATAAATAAATCCTACTGACTCAAACTCCCAAAATAATCTCATCTAGTAGCTGGTGAGGGACATTTGTGTGCAAACAAGTTTGAAATAAAATTGTTCTAGTAAGAGTTAATCCTGTTCATGTAGCAATACCATGAGAAAAATAAGGATTGGGAGGTCACTAGAAAAAAAAAATTCAGGTGACAAATTAGGACTGTAGTCTGAAGGTTACAGATGTGGTAAAAACCAAAAGTAGAAGTGGTTGGGAGTATTTTATAATATTCTTTAGCAAGAACTCAAAATTGTTTTCCTTTAGCAAGTATAAATATGATGACATAAGTAAGTCTAAACTAAATATGTTGAGTATGTGGCATGTTCCATATTTCTTTATTAAAGTTTATTCCATAAGAGAAATTACCTTGTCTAGAAAGTTAAATGTTCCTTCCATTACTGATACTTCATGATTCATCCGCTTATCATAGTTTAAGACTGATAAGAACTATGAAATCAAAAAATAAAAGATCAAGTTAATATAGCTGATGCTTCCTGATGTTAAATCCTAGATCTGTAATATTAACTTAGCAAAAACAAATTTTCAAAGGAAGATGGTTCTGCTTTCCAGTAACAAACCTTAATTAAATTCACATTTATCTCGAAAAGCTTTTATTGAATGAGCAGGCTAGTTTCCAGTCTCAGATATAATGCATATACAGTTATGCTTAAGATTGTGAACCCTCTTGAATGTTAAATATTTGTTTGATCTGCTCTCTACGTAAGTCATATAATAGATAAAAATTTACCAAATGAGTAAAACAGATACTTTTTCCCTATTGAATAAATGGATCCAAAGCTACATATTTGTATGTGCAAAGATATTTGAACCTTTGCTTTCACTAAGTAGTGTATTTTCTTGGGCAGCAGCAACATCAAACTTTTCTGATAATTTGATTAGACCTACCTATCAGCTTGGGGGAAGTTTAGTACATTCCTCCTTACAGAACACTTCAATTTGGTGAGTTTCCTCATGTGAACTGCCTGCTACATATCCTTTCACATTTCTATAGAATTAAGGTCAATACTTTGACTTGACCATTCCAGAGCATTAACTTTCTTCTGCTTTAACTATTCTCTGGTTGTACAACTTGTATGTTTGGGGTTGTTGTTTTGTCGTTATGATCCACTTCCTCAGTTCAAAGACACATACTCCGATATTTTCCTTGAGAATTTGTTGGTATAATTCAGAATTTCATTAATAATGTCAAGCCATTCTCCATAGTAGTGGAGGTATCATCCAGACTGAGTTGACATCATCCGCTCACTGATAGGACTGAGTCTGATGACAATTGTTGTTAAGCCATGCCCCTGTTGCTAGGCAACCCTAGCTTTTCGACTCATTCCCTCAATGAGGACGGATGCATCACCATTAGCTCCACAGCTAACTTTTAAATTTGAGATAAGTAGGATATTGGTTTAACATCAGATTATGTGTGGATTTGTCTTGGGAAACACTGTATTGGGGCTGTTAATTTATGCCTTCAGCCCCTTAGGGGGTGACGTGTGTGTTTGCCTTTAAGGCAAAGATTCTGGTTCAGTGGTGGCAAACCATGATACTGCCACCAACATATTTCACAGATGGGATAAGGTCCTCCACACTGGAAGGCAGTGTCTTTTGTGAAATATAAAACTTTTCACCTAGGCCAAAAAGTTCTATTTTGGTGTCATCTGTCCATTGAACATTTTTCCAATAGTCTTCTGGCTTAACCACATATTTATGTATAAACTATAGCAGGGACATGCAGTCACTAGAGGCAGGGGAGGCGTGGCCTCACCAGTCATAAGGAAAAGGAAAGAATTTTAAAGATTTTTTTTAAAATAATTAAAGCCAAGGTAGTTGCTACCAGATTCCAAAAAGCCTCTAAAAATGCCCTCT